AAATTGTTGGGTGTTAGTGGACAAAATCTGTTGAATATTGTAAGCAATGGATCAATACACTCTGGTAGTATTGCATCAGATGAAGATAATGATGATGATGATGACGACGATGATGATTTTTTTGATGCATGTAGTGACCTTGGTAATGACTATGTAAAGGTAATATTTAATATATGTATATTCGTTTCTTTAAAATAAAAAAGTTCATTATTAATTTTATTCATAAAACATTATAGTCAAATCGAACATCCGTTTCATCAATATTTTTCACTCAGCCGAATTTTAGTAATGAAAAACTATCAATGTCCTTAGCTAATTTCAGGAGTCCAGATTTCATTAATCTCGATATATTACATTGGACTTCTGAAACTTCGTTGTTAATATGGAGAAATATGCTTTGTGCTTTGGGTAATTTGAATCACATTCAGATTATTCCACATCACGCTGAAGCTATCAAATGTCTAGTGGATATGTTAGATATGTTTGGAATGGTAATTTTTTAAAAAATAAAAAATTTTCTCGGTTACTTTTAACCTTTTTAAACAATCTATATTTATAATTTATATGTTATAATAGGTTTGCTATAATCAATTCGGAAACGTTCCCTTCCCTTTGATTTATGAATTTGCTCCTTGGTTCCTTGAGGCTTGCGATTTGCCATTGTAAGTCATGTTATATTTAGGCTAGTTTAAAACAATTTTGGATAATAATTTATAGTTAATATTATTAGAGCTTTCGCACCTGGACGAGTATTAGCTTATGGAGGATTATGTAAGATTATGTCATTTCGGCACCATAATGACTTTGATGATTCCTACTATCATCATTTTTATCGTGCTTTATTGAAAGGGTTATCTGATTATGATAATTCTATAATTTATGCGATAATTAATAATTCAGCAAATTTATTTTCTCAATGTCTTCCCGGAATTAATATTCTTTATCGTTCCTTTATTGAATCGATAAGAAATTTATTATCAAAACATAATTCAAAGAGAGTTCCTGAAGGGACAAGACAAAATGCAATTACTATACTTTATTCACTTATATGTATAGTAAATCAAGTTCCATCCGCAAAAGTTCCTGTTGTGCAATATATGAAACTTGCTCAAATTAATGAATTTGATGAATCAAGTTTCAGCTTATTGAGTGATGTGAGGTTTTCCGAGGTTGGTTCATTTATATTTTTATAAATTATGTGGCTCTACATATAATAATTTATTGTTAATGAAAATTTTAGGTAAGATTGGCTCTGGGAGAAACATTAATAAGTTCATTATCAACAGAAACTACAATAAAACATAGCGATACACATAAGATGTTATTATATGGCATTTGCACATTTGCATTTGATGAACTTACTACAACAAGGTTAGTAATACATTTATTTTTTTATACATTTATATTTATATTGCTTTAATTATTTAATTTTGAATTATCAATCAATATTTTATAGGCCAGATAAAACTATCATTAAAGAATGTTTTCAAGCGATATTGGACCAGTTATATTGGAGCCATTTGTCTGTAGTATCAGCAGCTGCAGATTGCTTAATTACATTTGCACAAAATTCTTCAACGTGGTCTGAGGATGAAGAAGTAAACTATATTCTTATTGTTTATAAATTATTTTTTTGAAAACAAAACCTAACTAATTCTCTGGTAGATATACGGAATGATTCTCCAAGATGTTTTTGCCAATTTAATTGGAGCTTTGGATGAACATATAACAATACAGAAAGCAACCGTGAGAAATGGAAGAGGTACATAATGAAACTAAAATAATTTAAATTTTAATATTTATGCACGACATTAATTACCTTTGGTTTATTTAAAAAAAAACATTTTAGGATTCATAATAGCTAAATTATTTTATTGCCTTCTTGAGTGGTTGATGGTAATTCCTTCTACCATTTTCACAGGCACTGATTTAGGTCAACTTGTTTTTGATGTAATAGATTTGGCATTTGAAGATCGTGGGGTATAATAAGAATTTATTTTATGTTTATATTAGGGATGCAGACTTTATTTTCTTAGAAATTACGTCAATTCAGTTATATATATTTTGAACGTCACGATCATATAACAAAAGCAAAAGTCTGCATCTATAAGTTTATTTATTTATCATTATTGACCTTTCCCTCTTATTAGGTAGAATCATTAAATTATTACAAAAAAGTGTATCCTACTCCACTTAGGAATCAAGGAAAGGAAACTTCCTTTAAATTTAAAAAATCAACGCGTAAAATTTTTTTTGGAATGAATCATGTTGTTGGAGTTGAAAATAATGTTGAAGATGAGAATTTTGTCAAGGTAATTTTTAGCGCTTATTTCGCTCTGATATAATTGTATATTGACAAGTTATATCGAAATAACCCATTCAAACTTAATACTTTTTTTTATTTTATAGGAAGTTGCGGAATGCATATTATTACATTTGACACATCATTTTAATAATTTTGCTCCTCTTTATGGTCCTGCAATGATAAATAGGTTTGTAAATCGAGATGCTTCAGAAAAAGAGGGTATTTTCTAATCTATACTGTTTTCTTTCATAGTACTTTATCCGGTCCATTAGGAACCGACAATAAAGATGATGATTGCGCCGAACATTATCAATATTTTTCTTTTAGTGACAGGACAATAATCACAATAATAGAGATACCAGACAATGACAGCTCAAGTAAATTAATTTCCTTCAAGTTATTATAATTTGTTAGAAAATCTATCTTAATAAAAATTACATTTCTGAATTTCGTTTAGTATCGCGTTTTATCATTCGAGATATTACTGGTCGTTATGCTTGGGATACTAAACTTTTCTATTTGGATGATCCTAATTCAAAACAACAAAGTATTTCAAAGCATTGTGAAATTACAAAATGTATGGAACTTAGACCTAATATTAAAATCGAACCATTATCGAGAAACAAGTCACAGTATGTTTTATTTCGCATTTCATTATATTTGCCTATATATATTATTCTAATTTCTTCTATTTTTTATTGATAATAGAAATTCAAATGTATCATCTGTGAATAGATTACGTAATCGGACAAGCAATTTTTTTAAGGATACAAATAAATTACCTGTTTGGACCGAAAACAGTAATAATGAACATATAAATATGTTGGATTATTTGTTACAATAGTAAATATTTCTATAATATCTAATGTTATTTTTATTTTTATTATCGAATGAAAATTAATGTGAATTTGTTTAAAGCGTAAGTGAACATACACCAATATCGGAAGGAACATCCGATTATGGCTTCCAAACTGGATTATCGCAGCTTGAGAAAGAATTGAATAGACATATTAAAGAAGAAATTCATCATCTCAATTCTACCGGAGGTCAAGCGTAAGATTTTACATTAAAACATTCTATACTGATAAATCATTAAAATTGTTAAATTCGCTCAATTTTCTTTTTTTTTTTGCTTAGATCATCTTGGTACGAAAATAACATGTCATTACGAAATAGTATAAGTCAAGAGATAAATAATAAAAGTAATGGAAATGGAGTATCTAAACGACTTTCAAGGAATCTACTTTATTCAAGATCTACATCGCATTTATCTCTTGGAGCAGATTTTTCATTATCAAAATCATTCTTACCCGTTATACCACCAGAAGCGGAAAAACCTCAAGAACCTTATCAACAATGTCGATTATTCCAAAGTCATTTTGGATGGTTAAATCCTGATACATTTAAAGAAGGATCTATATGTGTATTGAATAAAGGACCAGCCTTATATCGAGACATTCGATTACTTGACAAAAAACATTCACGTGAATGTATAAAGGTTGGGTTGTTATATGTTGGGACTGGACAAGAAGATGAGCAATCAATTTTACAAAATACGAGTGGAAGCAAAGAATATGAAGAATTTGTTATAAGTCTTGGATGGGAAATTGATTTAGCCAATCATTCCGGGTATCTTGGTGGATTGGAAAAAAATTCTACGAATGGAACTTCTTCGATTTATTATTGTACTTCAACTTTGGAAATAATATTTCACGATGTAACCAGAATGCCTACAGATCCTACAGATCCGAAACAACTTCGAAAGGTATTTAAGATTTCATTGTTTATTTCATTAATATGTTTTCAAGAAAATCTTAACGAAATTATCATTATTCACAAATTAGAAACGACATATAGGGAATGATCATGTACATATAATATGGAATGAACATTATCGAGATTATCGAAATTCCACGATAGGGGGAGATTTTGGTAACGTTCAAATAATCATTTCACCATTATCCACAAATACTGAAAACCAAAGCACCAATTTATATGGGGTGGACATCTATCGTGATAATAAAATTCCACCATTTGGACCTTTATTAAATGGAATGGTTGTTTCAAAAAATATGTTGGGTCCATTGGTGAGGATGACAGCTATTCACGCATTTCGATCAAGTGTAAATAATAATAATAATAGTAATATACAATCATTTGCAACAAATTATCAACATCCTTATATGCAACGATCTTTAGATATTAATATGATAATGGGAAAACATAAGGATTCCAAAAGTAATAATTCTTATGAATGTTTTATGAATAAAATTTTTTTTAATGATGACTTGTCTTTATAGATATCTTTTTTTATTAATATTATAATTACCTTAATTTCTTAATTAATTTAGTATTCTAATAATTTTTAATTTGTTAATTAATATATTAATTACCTTTCTTACAATAAAATTAATCAATATTTGGAATTCCTCAAAAGATGATTTTATTTTTAAAATAATTAGTGCAAAGAATTTTTCTAAACACAGTTATTGTTTTAGTCTCGTTTCAATGTAAATATTTTCTTTCATAATTACGTTTTTTATGTATAATTACTTAATATTGAGATTTTAGATGGTCTATTGTAATAATTTCTAATAACATTCAATTAAATTAAATTAAATTATTTATCAAATCATTTCAAGAATAAACATATTGTATAAATGATTAAAATTTTAATTTTTATTAAGTTCTTTTTTTATAATTCATCTTTTTCGCGTTTTGATTTTAAAGTAATATTAAAATCATATTCAAAACTTTTTCCTTTACCTTTAATAACCTCTTTCAAAAATTTTTCAATGTTTTCTTCGTCAAAAGGTCCAAGATAAGGCCTATATACCTTTCTATTTGGGTTTAAAATCATCAAAACCGGAAAAACATCGGCTAATTTAAAATCTTTAATCAATTTTTTTGAACCACTTTCTAATGAATTAAACCATAAAAATCTTAAATAAATCGAATTTCCTAATTCTCTATGGAGACTTTCCTTAACGTTTTTTAATATTTTAATATTTGATTCATGTTCTTTAATTGATTCTTCAAATTCTGTTTCTAAAGGTAAAAATGTAAAAATACATAATCCCGTTTTTGACAAACATTCGTTATCAAGTATTGCTTGTGAATTTGCATCTAATATTTCAGGATTATCTAATAAAGAAAAAAATATATATAAATTTTATTCTTAAAAACATTAAACTTTTTAATGAATAAAGTTAACTTACATGGTTCAAGTTCTATTTTAGGTCCTTTCTTTTTCTCGGGTTTTTTCTCATTGGGATTCTTTTTGGGCAAAGCATATTTATTTAAATATTTGCTCAGGTTTTCATAATTGAATTTCCCTAAAAAATTTCAAAATAATTATTTTTTTTTTTTTTGAAAAAAGTTTTTAAATAAAAATTCAATCACCTTTAAATTCCGTGATTTCATTGGTGTTTTTATCTATAGCAAGTAATGTCGGAAATTTTTTAATATCAAATTTCTCAATAACTGAAGATTCTTTTTGTCTAACTTCTCCCAGAAATAATCGATTATGAAATTCCACCGATAACGCTTTATATAAATGAGTGGTTTTTTCTTTATTTGTAAATAATATAACTTTTGACATCGTTTCATTCTAATATAAATTAATGATGTATTATTATTAATATATATAATTTGATCTTTTTTAAATAATCATAATGATACATACGTCTTTGGCCAAAAATTCTTCAATAGTGAACGATTTCTTTGTTGGATTATTATTGGAAATTGGTAGCACAAAAGATGGTATTTCAGAAAGTGCAAATTTCACAATTTCATTTGCTGTCCTTGGTCCATTATAATCTTAAATAAAAAATTTGTTTTTTTTAAGATAAAAAAAATATATTTATTTAGAAATATATATATATAATTATACCTTTAGGCTTTTTTAAGAATGAACTAGAATTTTTTTTATCTGGTACTGCTTGACTTGGAAATAATTTTATTGTTGGAAAACCTAATAAAAATTTAGTCTGATCATTATTACATTGTAATCATTTCATCAAGACAAGTTGAGATGATAATTTTACCTTTAACATCGTAAGCACCACAAACGTTTCGATTTGATTGATCATCACAATCTACGGCTGCTACTTTTACAAGACCTTTAAGATTTTCAGCAACCTTTTTGTACTCTGGTGCAAGACTGTTTTAAAAATTAAAAGTCGCGTTAGTCTCTAATTCTTAATAATAATAATAATAATAAAGACTTACTTTTTACAATGTCCACACCAAGGCGCGAAAAATTCCAATAAAACGACTTGCTAATTTCCAATTAAAATCAATTCTTAATTCGAATTAAAAGAAAACGAAACTTGAAAATGTATCATATATTTACTTCTGTTAGTAAAACTACATCACGAAAGTTTTTTTCTGTTACCAATGTAACTGGACCACTTTTATCGTATAATGCCAGAATACATGGTAAACTAATACAAATCGCTAAGGACGCGATAAGTATTCTCAAAGGAATCAGCATATTTTTTTTGTTTTACAAAATCAAAGGAAAAAAAGAAATTAGGAACGCGAGGTAGAAAATTTTCACGTTTATAACCTTTTTTTCATAAGTATTCGTGGCATATTTTTATTGGAGAACAAAAAAGATACAAACCGGTTTAGTTGATTCACTGACCATCCCCTTTAGAGATTTGCTACAAAATGAAAACACAAAGTATGTAAAGTATGTCAGTCAAGCAGATCTTACTTTATAAGATATGATAAAAATAATTTTAGCGGGTTACAACTCCGAAGTTGGTTTTTTTTAAAAAACGTTATTAAAACCTTTTCTTATCCAATCATTCGATATTTAATTTTTCGCCGCTTTGTTTCTAACATTGCTAATTCCGTAAAACTCTTTGGTAACTACCATTGTAAAAACCTGAATACCAAATTTGTTACTTCAACTTTTTAAAGAATTTCTAAGATTCATTATCTGAATAGATTGGGTACTACATATCACAAACACACGGATACAAACGTTTTGGCAGACTTTTGCATAATATAATATTAAATGTTCTTGAAAACTTGAAAAATACGAAAAAAAATTTCTTCCTCTTATTATTTTGTCACCCCAAAATATTATTTATATATATACGATTAATACTATATTATATTTATAAAAAAAAAGTTTCAAAACTTTAAGATAATGGTGGCCTTAACAAAGACCTTATCAAAATGGGTAAGTATAAATTATCTATTAAAATATCATCGCAGGATGCTGCGGAATTAAGGCTTGGTCAGAGTCAAAGTTTCTTAAAATTTTATTTAATAAATATAAATTCGTCAATAAAATTCTATGTAGTTGGCCAAAATAACAGAGTCAAAATGGACGAAACTTTTTGTTCTTGCATCCATAACACAATTGCTTGCTGTAATTGTATTAGAAAGCCGAGTACTTCGAAGAAATATGGATTTTAAAGCAATTATTATTCGAAACATTCAAAACGATGTTGATTGTGATCTTAATCCATCAAAAGATCGTATGTCACTTATCATACAAGAAAATGCTATTTTCATGATATTTCAATTGTTCCAGCTTTATTTTTGTCTCAATGCGGTAAATCATTTTTTGCTCAAGTAAAATTTTTTAAAATTCATAATCCTAACTGATCGATGTTATTTTAGGTTATCAATCAAAATACAATTCAAATCATTACACTTACTGTTATAAATTTTGTCTGTGGGTTCTATGGCATTGTAAATTTATTTTTTTATTTTTTATTTTTATTTTTTTTTTAAGAAAAAGAAACAAAATGTTAAATAATTTTATTTATTTAGGTTCAAATCTTTGAAATAAAAAAATGGAATAGTGATCTTAGTAGTGTTCTATGTCAAAATATTGATTTTGACAGACAATTTTCAAGCCATGATATACCATTAGTAATCGTTTTAGTTGGGTTCTCATTAATTATGGCTTTCATAAGTTTCAAATTATATCAACAATTTGGATGGAATAATTATAAAAAAATTGGTGCAGATATCAATGTTCAAAAAATATATAAAGCTACCCTTATTTTTGTTATGTTATTAAAGCTTGATTTATTCTTTGTGTTCCTCTTGTCCATCGAAGTTTTCTTTCTTTTTAGTGAAAAAAGTGAAAATGATAAAAAACTTGAATTTACTTTTACACTTCCAAAAAAAGTTTATTATTTTCATATGGTTGTGACGATCATGATATTTTTCTTGGAAATTCTTGCTTATCGATCTGTAAGTGTTTTTGTCATTTCATTTTATTTTAATATATATATTTTTAAACTATAATCAACGCGCTTTGTATTTTAGTTACGAAAAGAGTGGAGGAAAGGCATGTTTGCTTATATCGTATTGTCAACAGTTACCATTGTCGATTTTGTCATTATTTTACGATCCGCGACAAATACAGTAAATAATAACTGGTATTTCTTTATTGTTTTCCGTAAGTAATTAGTAATTTTAGAATATTTGAAATTTTTTTTCGCTATTAATATAATATTCATCACGCAAGAATTATTTTTCTTTCAATTATAGTGTCCGTTGCTATTGTGCTATGTTTGGTAATATAAAATATATTATTTATTCAAATTTACATAAATCGAATTTACATTAATCACTTTCTTTTTTTTTCCAAACTAATAGACAACTTGGTTATATGCTGTACTCATATTCAAAAATTTTGGAAAAGGTTTAGCATTAATTTGTAAGTTAAATTTTATATATAAATTTGTTTATTTCAGAAAGTTTTCGTTAATAATACTTTCTATAATAGTTAAGAAAAAAGAGAATCATCTTCAGGATCCCGAGGTTGGTGGCAGTACTCAAGGCGAAAAAAGATTTATAATCGAGGAAGATTAAAAAAAAAAAATTTTTTTTATAATGATTGTATCGTACAAGTTCGACATGATATATACTATACATATTTAATTTTTTTTTTTTTTTTTTTTTTTTTTTTTAAGAGAAGGTTAAAGAATAGATAGAATATTTTAGATAACCTTTTCTCTCCTCAACAAAGTACTTTCTAATATTCCTTTTTTTTTTTTTTTAATATAAAAAAAAGAAGTTTACATCTATCGTATCAAATATTTATTTAAATAAAAAGTCATCGCGCGAATTACGTGAGATTAATTAAGTATTGAAATGTATGTCCTAAGTTCCATATACAAATGGCTGCAAAATTTTAATTACTCAAAAAAAAAAAAAAAAAAAAAGAATTTATCTTCCACTAGTGGATAAGTTAAGAACAAAGAAAACAATGGCAAAGAATATTTGTAACGACCTTTAAACTTCATTGATTGGTGTTGTACGCTTTGATTTTCCTCCATTGTTCCATACAACTAAATATTAGTTAGGTATTATTTTTAAAGTATAAAAAATAACATTATAATTTTTAAAAAATGAACTCTTAATTAATATTAATAAAAGATTTTAAGTTAATTTGTTTTAAAAAAAAAAAAATTTAAAACGAATAAATTTAAAAATTTATATCAATAAAATAATAAGTATGTATTTATAAAAAAGTTATACTTTTAAAGATGTATAAAAAATAAATAAATATTATTTTATAATTATAAGTATTTAAATCATAATATATACTTACATATTAAATAAAAGTTTTGATAAATATATTTAAATTATATATATTATTAAAAAAAATATTAATGAAATTTAAATAATTATAACTAAGGTTATTTAAGACTTAGCCAGTTGTTTAAGTATAAAGGTAAAGCTTAGCAAAATTATATTAAAACCTTATTAAAATATCTGAGTAATTTAAAAAAAAGGTAAAATATATCAAAGTTTATCAAATAGTTAAACTATATTAAAACTTTAGCAAAAAATAAAAAACTAAATATTTAAATGTTAAGATAAGTTTAGATAGGCAATGCAATCTTAATTATAATTAGTTAAATATATTATTAAACTTATGCTTATTTGATTATCTGTTATACTTGTATTTATTATAATAAAGTTTTCTAAAAGTAATTTTATTTTTCAATGATTTTTTTGAAAATTTTATTTTTATTATTCTTATAAGATTTATAAATAAAATAAAAGAATTTAATCAAAGTTTAAAATTTTTTTAATAAAATATAATTGCATATAAAATTATATATTATTAAAATTTATTAAAATTTAAATATTTAAATATTATATACAATATTTATAAAAATCATAATTAATATTATATATTATTATTATTTAAAAATAATAAATTTATTATATATTTTATAATATATAATAACTAAAAAAGTTCTTATTATTTAAGAATAATATACTAAGGCAGCAGTTATTTATACTTTTTATTTCTATTATTCATATTTCTTATATAATAATCACTACATGATTAGTTGATGTAAAGCCATGTGATTTACATAAAATTTTATTACACTATTAGTTATGAAATAATAATGAAATATGAGCTCAATATAAACTTTACTTATTATAATTAAAGCTTCTTTCTTACAGTTTATTTTTTTTTATTGTTAATTTCCCAATTTATCTATAATTATTAAAATGCTCCTGCTAAATATAAAAATACAGATAAGCTTTTTAAAATGCTCTAACTTTCACAATTTGTCAAGGTTATGCATTAGTAAAAAAAAAATCGTAAGGAATTTAAAAATATGAATTTACATTATAATTGAGGTGATGTTTATAACTATTCTTTGGGTATTACTGAAGAAATATATTAAAGACATAAAAGTACAAGGTTGATTAATATTTAGAAATTCACAATGTAAACTATAACTATGATTATTTAGAAAATATGTCAGAATATCCATCCAATTGATCCAATTGCATATCATCTTATAGAATTATAGCCAGAAATTGTAGCAGCAATAACCATTGCTAGTTCACATTCACGAGAAATTTTATTAATCCTTCATCAAAATAATACAAAAAATTTGATTATTAATAAGATATCTATAATACTCGTGAATGAAAATTTATTTTTTAATTTGACGAACAAGTTTACTGAATAAATAAAAATGATTATAACTGAAAAATTATATATTCAATTATAACTGAAATATTGTATTAAAACACGAAAATGTTACGTTAAATGTATAATATAAATTTTACTACTGATCAGATATCTATAAAAACTTTAAATTATATTATATGCAATTCGTTATGGTGCATAACTTTACTAATTATTCCAAAAGTGATTAAATTAATAAAATATAAATTTTTATTTGAAAGAACATTTTCCATTGATTTTCTAATTTTTAAGTGCCCGGTGACTTTTGATACCCACACTGTACATTTACATTCGCTTATAATAATTTAATTGAAGTAAAGAAGTAACTCTTATCAAAGTTGCTAATTATTTTTTTTGCGCCAAAATTCGATATACATTATGTGTTGCGCCTATGAAACGTCAACTTATAGTAAATCATATTTAATAGAAAACCTCAAAGTAATTTCTTAATGGTTATTTGATGAATTCCGCCAATCTGAATGTAATTTGATAAGATAATTAGATGCATATGTAAAATGAATTCAGGAAGAAATGGATCTGTGATAATATCATCAAAAAAACCTAACTTTGAGATAAAGAGTGCCTTTGGCTTTATATTCAGTGTCATTATCTTTTTTTTTTTTAAAAAAAAAAAAAAAAAAAAAAAAAAAAAAAAGTGAGAAACCTGCTTCATGATCCTGTCATCATAGATATTTTTGGATACAAAACATTTAATGATATACGAAAAAAATGGGGCGCACTTTATTTTATTATACCAAGATTCAAAATACCATGACTAAATCAATGTTGACTAAAATATGCCACAACTAAAATCTTGTAGCATTAGGATATTCTGACAGAAAATTGTATTGGTGTACATCAATCTACTACTGCTATTAAAGAAAAGACAGAAAAGACATGCATTTTAAAAGGAAAGTAAGTTCTTATCGTCCGTGAAAGTTAACGAAGCGGGAAGAACACGAATAAAACATTTTACGAGGCGAATGTTCAATTGTTGATTTTGTCAAGAGAAGTTAACAATTGATAATAATATAAATGTTAGCTATAGTACTGTAAATTTAGAGTGAAAATCTTTTAGACATCGTAAATTGCGATTAAATATTGCCAAATCATATGGGTGGTGTGCTATTAAAATTGAGGTACGGATCATATGATTTACTATGTCTCGTACCTCAATTTTAATAGCATACCACCCATATAAAGATTGGACCAAACAAATTATAAATCATAATCGAAGAGTTGGATATGCATATGAATTCTTGATGTCAAAGTATCAGATGAATCTGAATCATTCAGCTGATTTAAATCGAGCATAAAATTTACAGATATGTAAGAATAGTAGAATAATAAGAAATTTTTTTCCATTAAAGTTGAAATTTAGGGTCATAGAAGGGATCCTAATAATTTTCATGATATCAATTTGAAAAGAATTAAGCAATTATATTTAAATGAACGAAAAATTATTAACAATATTAGCAATAAAAATCATCATAAGGGTAATAGCAAAATTAATTAAATCAATTATTTAACAACCATTATAAACTATTTATAATAATACTAAGATATGTTCTCCAAAGAATATCAGTAAAATGTTGCCGCACAACTAGTATGAAATACAAATGCTCTAATCCCAGGTTGACTGCCTTGGAGCCAACCGATAAAATGTTGCGCAGCGGCTGTCGATCCGGTACCGTTGAATACAAAGATATGGTTAGTTCCCGCGAAAGGAATTAATACAGGATGAGGAGAACCAGCCGGCGGATATAAGTTGAGGTTAGTTGGGAGAGCATTTGGACTACTAAGGTCAATTACGACGTACACGAAATTGGTCATGGCTCGATTTTTGGAATGTTCAAGTATATATGTTGTTAAATCTTGACTAATATTTGCAAAGGCATTGGCGCCTTCAAGATTTTCTCCGGTACCGTCGATTGCGTTTCTTCCGGCAAGAAATTTTGTTATGGGTAAAACATCACGATCCTTCCATTTTGAAGTGGGCTTTTTTGAGAGAATGGTCGCGGGCGCTAAAAGCATTTTTCCTAAGAATAAAGCTTGTTAAACTCATCGAAAACATTTCGACCAAACGTTAGACAAAAAATAAATAATATTATACCTGGTAGTGTTTCTGTAATTAGCTTTGCATTTAAGTTTTCCCCAACTTCGGAAATCTCCTGAGGCATTCTAAATAACAAAAGTATAGTTATGATATGGAGAAAGTATTATTTAACCAAAAAAAAAAATTAGAACGCTTACTGAGGATTTTGTTCTCCAATCTTACTTTTAGAATACATTTCTCAGAAATTCGAATGTACGAGGAAGAATTCGCGTATCACGCGACTTACAATAATAAAAAAGGGGAATCTTAACCTAGCCCCCGTATCTAGGTTAATATCCTACCCCCCAAATTTGATTGGTTCATCATCATTAGCCACCACATTAGTTATTTACTGTAAAATTTCACATGATTTGCAATAATATTTGATCGATTTTATAATTCTCATTTTTTTTGTCCCACACTATATTACTACCCTTAATTGCCACCTACATCACATACACTTGTTAAAAGCAAATAGATATGAGCGAAAACTTTATTAAAATATATTTCTAGCTATTATTTTGCACTATAAATGTAAGTAATAAAAGAAAAGAAATAATCTAACAATTGGAGAAAAAAATTAGCGATTGGCATCATAATTAATTGGATAACCTGCCAATTTAGATATAATCTAGTGGGAAGTTGAGTTAAAAATATTTAAAAAGAACATATTACTGCGAAAAAAAAATTAATGTGTCACTAGCTTTGGATAAAGATTTATTCTAAAGAAATTATTTGGTTTCTTGATTTTGTTGTTGATCGTTCATATTAGGTTTTTCTTTATTGTCGATCTTCTCGATCGTCACCTTAGCCCAATCGATTACGACTGCTCCAACGATAAGATAGAACATCTTATGTTCCGCATCCGTAAAGTAAATTGGGAGAATTAACATGTCATGGTATTCGTGGTATTCTAAAGACTCGATGATCTTATGAAGAATTAAAAACATACAGCTTAGGCCGTTAGTATCACAAGTATCACATCTTATGCAGATGCGCCAACCATCACCTGAAATGCGCAGTACGATATCGGTAAAATTCTTGCCGAAGAATAGGGTGTGAATTCGTATATCTCGGACTTGTATAAATATATTTCACATTATTTTTTTTTTCTAACAAAACCGAACATTAAATCATTTCTTCCGAAGGTTCCAAACAGACCACCATTATACTCAGTGTGAAAAAATACTGGAGACGAAGCTCCCGGACAAGACATTGTGCAATTAATGTTGGGAGTATATTACAAGGAAGCGTCTTCAGAGCTGTAAAGCAATACCTAGCTAATATCTTTTCATTCCAGGGTTTGGAGGATCTCTTTAGCATCACGAAGGTATAAATGGATTATGGAATAATGTTGAGAAGGAGCCGGCGATGAAAAAACAGAGGGTTCAACTGTAAGACGCTTCGCATGTATTTTAGTCCGCAGACATTAGTATAGACGTCATGTATCCTGCATCATGTAATTTATTTTTAGCGGTCCCTTTAGGACCAGGCTCAATGTATTGCAAACAAAAAACGTTTAGGGTGCTAGGTGACCCGCGAAATGTAATCATTTATTTTTCTCGTGTGGGAGTGATTGGTGTAATTCCTATGGAATCTACATACTAATTTTTTATTGTTCGAGAGTATGCATGTTAATACAGGGTAATCTGGATCGGCAAATTATTGGATAATATGATTTCCAGCGAAGATCCAGGGACTTTCATGATTATAAAAACTGGGTGTATTGGAGGCGTTTCTATTAAGAAAAAAAAACAATAGAAACATAAAATTCTGCACATACTCTCAAAAACTCTAACAATCTCAATTTCTCATCTATCTTCGCAAAATGCTTTCAAACTCTGATATGTTTTTGATCGTACTCTTCAGCATCGTAATTATAATCTATGAGATGATTCTCCGGGGCATCCTAACAATAGAGATGCTCCAAGGTATTTTCGCAGAGAATGTCATAATATACATAATCTTTGCTGGGGCGTATTATTTGGGTCATGGACTAGCAAAATGCCCCTCTGAGAACCTCCGTCAAAAAAATTTATTTTTGTTTTAATATAAGCCCGATATGCTTAACTATATAATAATCTAAATATTTACACAAAAATTTCTTTCAAAAAAAAGATCGATAATCTAAAATTAGTACAATATGCATTCTTAATTAAGAAGACGCAAATAAATTCGATATAAAAATATTAATTTTTATTTATGGTTTAGGACATAAAATATCCTGAAACAGATCATCAACAAACTTTCGAATATTTTTATATAAATATTCTTGACGCGTTAATGATAAAGGTTTGGATGGTAATACAGTGATTGGTGCCATGGGATTAAAATTCTTGTTTTTTAAAATATCGAAAATACTAAACTCTCCTGCTGCCTCCTTTTGAACAAAAACTTTTCCTAATTCACTTCTTTTAAACCAAAAATGCCGATAC